CAATCTTCCGCTACATAGACCATATGGGAAACGGAACTTCAACGGATACGAAGGAGTCGCGCCGATCGAAGATGCGACAGAAGCTTCAGAACTTCAGCAGCCGCCGGCGTCTTCGTCGTCCTGGATCCGGAAGCGTCTCCGGATTGGTCAGTCAGAGATCCGTCAGCCAGGAGGATTTCGCTGGCATTGCTCTTCTCACTCTCATCGGCGTACAGTTTTTTTTTTTTTTTTGATATTGTAATTTATCAGTCAACTTGGTGATTCGGTAAGGGTAGTGATATGTGTGTAATTGGCAGGCGGAGATGAAGTTCAAGGACAAGTGGCTCGCATGTGTTTCCTTTGGTGAACAGACGTTCCGTACAGGAATCTCAGATTCGTAAGTCCACTGTAAATTTTCTTGATCGTAACTTTTACAGTTCTTCGAATAGAATGTCAACGCCGTCTTCTTGTTTTTGATGGTTTTTGCAGTACTGATAAGCCGATTTGGAATTCGGTAAGAAAAAAATCTCACTTTATTTTTGTGAGCTCCTTTTGAAGAGTTGTGAATGATTGGTTTGTGTTTTTGTTTTTGTTCTGTATGTAGGAGAAGAAGCTCCTCCTGGAGAAAAATGGACCAAGCTTGGCTAGGATCTCTGTATTTGAGGTGTGAAGTGAATTACATACTGAAAATTGGCGTTTACTTACATATTGATCGGTTGAGATGACTTAATTTGCTTGATGCAGACCAATAGGCTATCGAAGAACAATATCATCGGTTTTTGTGAGCTCGATCTCCTTGAGTTTGTAGTGCAGGTCAGCAGTTCAAAGTTTTTTTTTTTTTTTTTAAATATGAAAGCTGTTTAGGTTCTTCCACCTTTATCCCTCTTCATACCTTTTTCTAGTTTATAAGTATCAGCAAGTTGCTTTCTTATACTTGTCTCCCGTTGGTTGATGGGAATTTTGCCACGATGTAGATGATATTCGTTGCTGGATTAGATTTTGCAATGCCTTGATTGATAACTGGATGAGAAAATTGTTTGTTTGACAGATTTATATTGTTTCTCTTATTTGTATACAACGTCATATAGGAACCTGACTCTACTTGCAAGTCATTTGACCTGTTAGACCCGGCCTCGTCTAATGTTGTTGGCAGCATGTTCATTTCATGCTCCGTTGAGGTATGCTGTATGTTAAAATTTAAAACAGGTAACTAAACAAATGCGGTGGGAAGGGTTTTTGATATTTTGGTTGTTAACCTTCGCAGGATCCTGTTGAAACCGAGACATGTTTCGCGAAGCGTATTTTGTCCATAGTGGTATGCTTTACTTTATTTTCCACTTTGTGATATTATCCTCCTTGCTACACCTTTAGTTTTCTTGAAACTTTTAATGATTGGTGATAAAGACCTGGTACATCCTGCATTCTTTAATCGAATTTCCTTCTGTTCGTTTTTATTGTTTATCTGAATTTTGATGCGACGCTTTTTTCAGTTAACAGCCTATGAGCTACCATCATCCCTTCAATTTCTTCTTAAGCAGTTTTTCTACGGAACATTATGGCATCCTGCAGCCTTTATAATGAATTGATGGAGTCCTTTATCCAAGTGCAGGACTATAATGAAGATGGACATCTCTCATTCTCAGAGTTCTCTGATCTGATGGATGCTTTTGGGAATCAAGTGGCTACTAAAAAGGTTTGACCTTCACTTCTCTCTGTTGTGCGTCCTTATGCTTAGGTGTTTGTTTCCAAGTGTGTAGTGTCAGTTATGAAATTTCAAGTACCAAAAGTTTTACCCTTTAGCATTTTCGAGTAGAGAATTGCTGCACTTTTCTGAAGGCACTGTTCGACTTTTTCACCTGTTTATCAGAAAGAGGAGTTGTTCAAAGCGGCTGACCTTAATGGAGATGGTGTTGTTACGATTGATGAGTTGGCTGCACTTCTTGCCGTTCAACAGGAACTGTAATAACATTCTATACATTGTTATGTTGATAACTTCGGTTTATATTGTATTCCTTGAATCCCACTTATTTTGCATACATCTTTTGCAGAGAGCCAATTATAAATAGTTGCCCGGTCTGCGGGGAGGTTCTTCAACTGTCTGACAAGCTCAACGCAATGATCCATATGACTCTCTGTTTTGACGAAGGAACTGGTAATCAAACGATGACAGGAGGGTTCTTGACTGATAGGCAGGCTTCATATGGGTTAGGATTCTCCCTTTTTTAAGGTTTTAATTAGCCATTCAAAATTATTTATATATTCTTGGCTTCAAATTTTAAACATCTCATCAGGTGGATGTTCAAACTAAGTGAATGGACTCATCTATCAACTTATGATGTTGGTTTGAATACTGGTTCAAGTGCTTCACATATCGTGGTATGGAGGCCGATTATGAAGTTATCTGATTTTCTATATTCTTAAAACGTTAAACTTCAGAAAATCCTGACCATTTTTGTGGTTTTGAATGCACTAAAATATACATACATGTACTATATATTTGCTTTAGGTGATTGATCGGAAGACTAAGAGGCTCGTCGAAGAGTTGATTGATTCAAAGATTGTTATGTCGATGAGAGCCATTTACCAATCAAAAATTGGACTCGGGCTTATGGACCAAGGTAAAAAACTGGCTCCTTCACCTCTGCAATGCACCTGGCAGTAGTACCTTTGCGTTAAATATTTGTTCTCGTTTTCTTTGTGCCAATAAGTTACACATTCTTGCCTTTATTCTGGTTTCTGCTGAACTCTTTGATGCAGGAGCGAAAGAGATTTTGCAGAACCTTTCTGAGAAGCAAGGGAAGAAAATGAACACAGTTGAATCTGCCCAGAACATACCCAGCTTTCTTGAGTTTTTCAAGGTATGAGATCCTCTTTTAAACCGTTTTGCCTCTTTTTGTAACTTTATATGAACACCGAAAATTGAATTATTTGTCTGTGCAGGATCAAATAAATATGGCTGAAGTCAAGTACCCTCTAGACCATTTTAAGGTACGCCAAGGCAACTCATGGTATCATTCTAACCAAAATAAAATATGTTGCTAGTCTTGGACTTGAGGTAACCAAAGAACACTTCGGGGGTATGCCTTTCTATGAAAAATCATATTAGTTTGTGGCTAGGTATAGATATAGATGTAAGTATGAGGTCAATCTAAGCTAAATCATTTGCCAGTTTTATCTAGGAAGGGAAGAACCCTTGATAATTTGGTTAACTGTAAGCTTATGAATTTTTATGGATTTAAAAGATGGTCTATTCACTTGCAGACGTTCAATGAATTCTTCATACGAGAGTTAAAGCCTGGTGCAAGACCGGTTGCGTGCATTGATCGGGATGATGTTGCTGTATCTGCTGCTGATTGTCGATTAATGGCGTTTCAGTCGGTGGATGATAGCACGCGGTTCTGGATCAAGGTAAAACGGCCTCTATAGTAGCGATAATATAACAATGCTACATGCTCCGCATAAATGATGCAGCTGATAACCTGTTACTCGCTACTCTAAAAACTTCAACCGTTTTCAATATTCGTAGGGCCGTAAGTTCTCAATAAAAGGCCTCCTTGGGAAGGATGTGGATTCAGATGCTTTCCTTGATGGATCTTTAGTGATATTTCGATTGGCTCCACAGGTGGGACATGACTGTGCATGTTTCATGTCTTTCGACCAAAAGCTAGAATGTTACAGTCGTTTTTGTTCCATCTCTTTATGCATTCATTGATTTATTACAGGACTATCATCGTTTTCATTCTCCTGTTTCTGGCGTCATTGAAAAGTTTTTCGACGTTCCTGGAAGCTTATATACAGTATGTACTTACCCGTCTCCCTTTTTAAGTTGAAGAGTTTCCACTCTTCTCCTCCTTTTCTTACTGGATTTTGCTTGCTGTTTAGGTTAATCCGATTGCAGTCAATAGCAAGTACTGTAACGTGTTCACTGAGAATAAACGGACCGTCGTAATTATATCAACAGCAGAGTTTGGAAAGGTTTGTCATCTAGATGATAACTCTCTTATTATCTTTCTTCTCTGTGTGCTGAAGCAAAGTTTTTCTCAACTCTCACTGTGCTTACTGCTAGAAAGCGTTGATGCTGCATAATGAAATCTGATCTTATTACGGAACTTAACATCAGCTTATTGTCTGCAACAGGTCGCATTTGTTGCGATTGGAGCTACAATGGTTGGTAGCATCACCTTTGTTAGAAAAGAGGGAGATCATATAAAGAAAGGGGACGAGGTAACAATTTTGTTTTTTTTCATAAATGAAAAGATACGGGAGGAGCGAGTATATAACATTCTACTTTTTCCAGCTTGGTTACTTTTCATTTGGTGGAAGCACAGTTATATGCGTCTTTGAAAAGGTAAGCTTCTAACTTGCACCACTCTGATAATACTATACAATTAAAATCTTTTCGAAGAAAGAATTGGAGTATAAGCTTCCGCTACCATTGAAATTGAGTTGCTTAATTGGAAAATCTTGTGACTATATCATACATGTTCATAATACTATCCCTAGATGAGTACTTGCATCTGCACCGACCTTACCTTCCACGTTACACGTATTGCAGGACTCGATTAAGATTGATGAGGATCTTCTAGCTAATAGCGCTAGGTCTTTGGAGACATTAGTCACTGTGGGAATGCAACTAGGTGTCTCCTTCCCAAAGCTGGAAAACTGTTCTCTTGAATCCTGAACTGCTTCAAACTCAAAACTAAGGATGATCTGCTTTCGGTTTGATTTGTTTTAGTTTTCTCTTTTCCGTCAGAAACTCAAATCCTCTTTTGTTTGATACCCAATGACTTTGCTCTGTATATATTACACCAGTATGTCCGGGCATTGGTACTTGTTAATATTTACTGTGTTTCGTTGTCTTTTGCTAGGTGACAATTTTACATGCAAATAGAGCTAAAGACATGTCTTTTCTTTATAACTGTTTAAATAAAGAGGCTTTCTCTGCATCTCTCTTTCTTTCACCTCTCTCTTTCTTTCACCTCTCTCTATCTCTCCATTCGTAAATCTCATTCTCTACTGAGATGAGTTCACTAAAATCACAAATGGTGTGGACAAAGGCTAAGGTTAGTCTAGCTTTGTCTCTGGTCACGGTTTTCCTCGGCATCTCTCTTGCTGATCTCAGAGTCGGATTTTACTCCAATACATGCCCAGAAGCTGAGTCAATCGTCAGAAGAGTTGTCTCAAGAGCTTCTTTTTCCGACCCTAACCTCCCAGCCATTCTTCTACGCCTCCATTTTCACGATTGCTTTGTCGAGGTACAAAGCAACTTTCCTTCTCTGTCTCTGCTTTCATTCAGAAGTTTTAACACAACACTTTCAGGGATGTGACGGGTCTATCCTCGTGGACAACGGAGCATTCTCTGAGAAGTTTGCATTCGGGCATGAAGGTGTTAGAGGATTTGAGATAATAGAAGCTGTCAAGGCCGAGCTTGAAGCTGCATGCCCTGGTGTTGTCTCGTGCGCAGACATTGTTGCCTTGGCTGCACGTGATTCAATATCTTTGGTAATTTAAAAAAATTAAAGAAAACCTTCCGAATCTTTCTTTATTTTCTTCTTTGTGGTGATCGTATTATCATACAGGCGAATGGACCGGCGTATGAAGTGCCAACTGGGCGGAGAGACGGTCGGGTTTCGAACTTGTCGCTGGCTAAGGACATGCCGGATGTAAGTGACTCGATTGAGATACTTAAGGATAAGTTCATGCAGAAGGGACTCCACGCCAAAGAACTCGTCCTTCTCAGTGGTATGTGTCTCTTCTTCTTCTTCTTCTTTTCTTTTCTCTCTCATTCATGTTTGTTTGGTGGTCTCGAATTTCTCAAGTTTTTTGGTACGAAGTCTAAGTTATATGATTTTCATTTCCAAAGTCCGTGATGTGTTTGGCATGTTTCTTCCTCTCTTAGTCTTGCTGTCACGTGACTAAATTACTGGATTTTTCCAAACTATGTCAATATATAGTATTTTCTTCAAGCAAAGAAAGATTTTATAAATATTTTAAATGGTAAATTTGTGAAAAATAATAAACTCAATCTATACTTTGCTAGTTTGCTAATTTGTAGAGAAATAAAAATTTGTTTGTATTTTAACAACTTACTTTAGGCATTGATCCAAGAATTGTACTTTTGTGTAAGTAAGAAATGTTTTGATTTTCTGTCATCTTACCCATTAAATCTGGCATGTCCCATACATGTTAAGATTCACACGAAAATAGGCCTGGATTTCATGGTTAACATCATGGGAGCCTTAAAATTATCGACTTGCACGTGTACGAATAAATCTATCAACCTGCACGAAGTCTATCACACTCAGAATCACCGATGGTCATGACTCACTCATGCGTATTAAACCTGACCCGGTTTATTTTAATTTTTATTTGCATTTCAAGTAAAAGATTAGAACATTCTGATAGGATAAAGTTCTTCTAGCTAGCTTTAAGAAATCAAAAGATCTAGAATGGAGTCATCTTCATGTCGTCCTAATAATTATTCTCTTACCTTATAATATCAGCTGCTCACACTATCGGGACAACGGCTTGCTTCTTCATGACCAAACGCCTCTACAGTTTTCTACCAGGTGGCCAGCCCGACCCGACCATCAATCCAGTATTTTTACCCGAGCTAACCACTCGGTGCCCACAAAATGGTGACGTAAACACCAGGATACCAATGGACCGGTCCAGTGAGCGGTTATTTGACAAGCAGATTCTGCATAATATAAAGGATGGTTTTGCCGTGCTTCAGACCGACGCAGGTCTCTACGAGGATGTAGCAACCCGCCGGATCGTGAATTCATATGTTGGGTTGCTTAATCCGCTCTTTGGCCCATCTTTCGAATCAGATTTCGTCAAGGCAATAGTGAAGATGGGGAAGATTGATGTGAAGACTGGTTCTAAAGGGGAGATTCGACGGGTTTGCTCAACTTTTAATTAAGAAAGTATGCATTAAGATTGAAAGTGGTTAATTTCTTATACTCAGCAAAAAAATTGTAGCATATGTAGTTTGTCTTCCGTGCTATCTATATATTAGTTCTCTTCTACGGGTAATGAGCTTAGGAAGCTAGATCATTAATTGTAAGAAAATATGTTTTGATCTTCTACTCAAAAGTATGTATAAGATTGTATTAATAAATGCGTGATGCATTATCCTTATGTTCGTGTAAAATAGTTTAAAGTGCTATGTATCCTCGACGTTAATGGTGTTAAAAATTATGAATCCATAATATCATAACGTGGTTTCTAACAAAAAGACAAAAAATGTTTTATTCAGAATTTCTCGAATCAACTATTCCCCATTCCCTTAGGACCAAAAAAACAAGAAGGGTCAGTAAAAGTAAGAACAAAGATTGTGAATGGCCAAACTGAAAGTCTCCAACAATAAAGAGAAGGGAATAAAAGGGCTTAAAGGTTCCTTAGGTTGGACCTTCTCACAAATCGTCCCTGTCGATGAAGACAACCAACAATAGTATCATTAGAATCTTTGTCTTGATTCTCAGCTCAAATTTCAAATTTGTTAACATTAATATTCTACCCATCAATACATACAACTATTTCAAGACGATAACATAGATGTATGTACCTTATTACGGGGTCGTTGATCAGCATTGAGTTTGCGGACTTGATATCGAATTCTTTTGGAGTTAGAGAAGAGCCGATTCCTCCGCTTCTCTTTATACCTTAATACAATAGCTTCTCTCACTCCGCTATCTCCAAACAAATCTATCTCAGCCAACCTTGCCTGTCCCAAAAACGCTCACACATTAATTAGTTTCATCCTTCACTAAAACGGACTCATTGAAGCATCATCTAACATTTTTATCAAATCCGTGTTAATTTCTTGTTATAGAGAAATATTAGGTCTAAGAAATTCAAAAGCTCTCTTGTTCGAAAAGAATAATGAACTAATATAATAGAACATATAACTAAGACTTAGTTAAGAACCCACTTTCAGCTCTTGTCAGATTTCAGACACTCGAGATATTTGTAATGAATTGGTTTTAATGATTGGTTATCAAAAACACATTAATTTTTTTTTTTTTAAAAGAGCGAAAACAACAGTTTTTCAAATGCAAATCTGAAGGAGAGTTCATGAGAGTAAAAGCAAACGTACATGGACGTCGGTTCCGGCAGCTTCCGAACCCATAATCTCACCGGAGAAAGGAAACTCCTTGTCCGACCAAGCTTCTAAAACCCCGTCGTAGTCGAGCTTCAAGAACGAACTCACCTTCTGTTCCGTCTTAGAATTGAGATCTTCAGAGTTCTTTAAATCAACCGCCACTTTCTTCTTCTTCTTCTTTGTCTTCTTCTTTTTCTCTTCTCCCGCCACCGTCGCACTCTTGCTACTATCCACGTCGGTGGTTATAGTAGTCTGAACTCTCGGCGAGATATGTTCGAGTTCCACGGTGGGAAACGTCCACAAGCTCGCATCGTAGCATTCCCGGAGAGAGTTCTTCAATCCCAGGGAGCTTCCGTGCCAAACAAGCCTCTTCATATCCTCTAACGGATCCATTCTAAAGCAATCACTTCCAGTAAAACCAGATTCTCCGTCGTTGGATTCAATGTTTCCCATAAAACTATCAATCCCTTCTTCAATCTCTTCATCAAGAATCGACTCAGCATCAAAGTCATCAAATATTCCACACTGATTCACCTTCGAGTCGTAAGTGACTTCCTTGTTCTCCAAGAAGTGATATGGTTTTGTCTGTATAGTGGGACTGAACAAGAAACGTGTCTCCTCGGTTGACTCAAACGGTACAAGTAACTGAGAAGCTTCGTCATCGTAATCTTTGAGAAACAGAGGATTCAACAACGGAGATTTTCTTCTCTTGGATGAGAAGATGTTTGGGTATGCGGTTGAGAGAAGAGCCTCCGCTTCGTCGTAAGTCTGGTTTGGTCGTTTCCGTTGAGTCCTTGGCCTTCTTGTGGAGATTGTTAGCGGAGGAGAGTTGGACTCAGAGATTGTAGATGACGGTGAAGGAGTGTTGTGTGAAGATGAGGCGGTTCTTGACGGTGGAGACTTCATCATTTCCAACTCAAAGGTATACGCTGTGCCGCCGCTTACACAAGAAGACATTTCTCTGCCGATGAAAAAGAGATGAAAAAGAGATGAAAAGAAAACAGAGCTTTCCAGTAAAATCAAGAAACAGAGATTTTTTTTTTTTTTTTTTGGTAAAAGAAACAGTCACAGAGAACTTATCAACTCAGAAAACCCACCAAAATAATCTCGAGAACTGCTGGCTTTGAGAAGATAAGTAAATCTTAGTTAAGTTTAAAAAAAAAAAAAGAAGAGTAATGAAAGTTTCGATTAGGTTCAGAAAAGTTCTGAGAATCGTACGAACTCTACTGTTCGTGCGTGAGAGAGAGAAAGAAGCTTTTAAGGTTTCCTTTTTTAGAAGAGTTATTATAAAAGGGGGCTTTGGGAAACGAAACTCGATTTGTTTGGTGTGTTTTCTGTAGGAGTGATGATGATGCTAAACCCTAAACCCTCTGACAAAATCTTTGTTTACTAAATTTAGCAAAAAAGTCAACACTTTGAGAAGGAAAATAGAAAGATTCTGTGTGTACTAGAAAGGAAATAAAAAAGATAGAGATGTTCACTCAACACCTAGAAGAACGAAAGAAAACCAATTTAACATCTAAAGATTAGAGACGAGAGAGAAAGAGAGAGAGTCACCGATTGGATTGAGAGAGTCACGAGATGTTACAAGAAAAGAGAAAAGATCCGTTAGGGTTTGTCAAAGTTATATACTAGTAGTGTCAAATAAATGGAGGCTCTCTGTTAATTGGTTTGTGAAATAAAAAAATCATCACTTAGTCGGCGAAAACAAAGGTGAAAACTGAAAAGTGAGACTTAGTGAAAATGTAACAGTAGGGGAAAGAAACAAAATGTATGTCGTTGGAAGATAATGAATAGTATTTTTACATTTTGTGAATTTTTAAAGAACACAAAATTCAAGTTAGATTAATTCTGCACGCAAAAATCGAGAAAATAATGTTTTCTTTTAAAAAAAAATTGGAGTAATATTATAGAAAACATTATAAACCACCCACCTGTAAAAACAATTTCGGCTCTCTATGTTAAAAAAACATACAACATGTCACCTTATCTATGTACGTGGCATGATCTTATTGCATGTATTAGATTTCTGTAATGACGTAGTGCTTTTCTTTTACACAAACTAGGAAACCTTTTGACCCTCATCCAAAAGATTTACTTACGATGAAGATAGCTGGTCGATTAGGTTCACTAACTGTTATTATTTTCCAAAAAGAAAGAACTGATAACTATTGAAGTATCGAGACCTAAATATTTGTCCCGAGTTCCGAGTTGGAACTCTTTCTAATTCTTGTTATTTATGGTTTATATCAAAACTAAGCACCATCTGATGTTTCTTATTTTGATTTACTGGTGTCTAGTGTCTGACATCCATAGAATACCAACGACTAGACTGGCACCCTCAGCCACGTAACGAGAGTTATAGTTGCCTATAGTATTGAGTCTATTGACTCATATATTTTCCATAAAATAATCTTAACTTGAAATGAAAATGCGGAGAGATGAAGAGATTAAAAAAGTTGGTCTCATCCGGAGATAATATGCGGCAGATGGCAATCATTGATTTGCCTCATTAGGTTCAGTGGGATCATTAGATTTTCTTAAATCATTTCCATATATTTCTGTGTGAATTTTGAATGGCTACTGAATAATTCAAATTAATACTTCAGGATGTCTCTTCATATACTACCGATTATATTCCCACTGGTCCTTTTTTACTTTTTTTTAAGATTTTTTTTTTACATTTACTGTAGTTTTTTTCTCTGGATAATGTGTATATATTTAACCTATAAGTTCTAGAATTCTCATATGCTTATGAGGATGAATATGTGCAGGAGAACTTAGCAAGGATAAAAGATAGGATTTATCTAGTAGAGAAAATGTAAAGATAGGATAAATCTGTCTGCCAACTCTGCCCACTGTCTCCAAAGTCCATCCCAGTTCTTTTTTGGAATCTTCTTATGATATTACACTTCTTTTCATATAATAACATGTGACCTCTCCTTCTCATTTCTTCATTTTTGCCCCTTCTTTAAATAATTTGATTTTTTTCATCTTTCTCAATGTTAAAATATATATATTACGTACAACAGAGTGACAAAAAAACGTAGGACAGAAAAAAAGATATGGCTTTTGGATTGGCTAACCAGTACCCTTTTTTTCTTGTAACAGGCTAACCAGAACCTAGTCATAGAATTTTTTGTGTAGAAGCATCATTGGGTCGATGGAAATAGACGACTCGACTGTGTATTTGACTTTTCAACCGATCTTCTATCAATTGTTTCGTGAAAGTATCGATGTTTGATGAATTATCCGACACTCAGTTACGTCATCTAAATGTGTTTACCTTTGGATAAAAACATTATTTGCTGGGATTTTCTTCTCATTTGATGGTAGATGTGACCTAACATAGGTATCCGGAAAGACGAATTGTTGACGTTAATTGTTGTTACTTATTAGTTACAGATTCAAAATGTGCCAAGACTTTGCCTTTGAAAATTAACCAATAAAATTGCATGTAAATTTGCTCAAAAAGAAAAAAAATTGCAGCAAACTGGAAAATTTATTATGAGAAAATGTATTAGTAAGATGTTAAGCATGTGACCCTTGAGAGTCAATTAGGACACTGTAGAAGATTGATCCAAATGGTTACAAACTACAAGTGAACTATCTTCTCTTGCATACGTATGTGTATAGAGGGGACCATTATTTATCGTAAACATACACACACATACGTATGTGTTTTGCCCTAAATTCCAAATTTTGATTGAGCATGGAGCCTCATGCGACAGCTGTGCTGCTCTTTCACATTGCTTTCCATTTCTTATGATAAACCTTTACCCTTTTTGGTAACCCAAACAATGAACAATAAAAGAAATAAAAGAAGAAACAAGACCAAAGACAAAAAAACAAGTTTAGACTAATTAATTCAGGCCCGGCCTTTAAAATGTTTGGGCCGGAAACATTAGAAAAAGATAGGCCTATTAATTAAATAAATAATAATATTAAAAAATTAATTATGTTGCTAACCATATTTGAACCATTCATCTTTCAAAGTGCCAACAACAGTATTAAACAACTGAGCTACTAAAAAATTGGTCGAAAATTTTAAACATTTTAACAAGGTCGGAATCACATGCTTCTAATGCTTCTACTTAAGGTCGCTATTGATTAATTAAAGCCTACAAAAAAAATATATCAAGATAAAATAGAGTTATAAAACTTGTTACTGTGACATTAAAAATATAATTGGCAAGTGTAAGAAATGATAACATTTGGTTCTCAAGTAATAGGAAAAAAGAAAGCATCAAAACAATTGTGCATTCGGAATTTAGAAAGCAGTGATTGTATAGTGGAGTAGGACTTCGAAAATATGTAGAAAACAGGTAAAAAGAACAAAAATAAATAAATAGAAGACTGTATTTTTATAAGGAAGACTAGTTTCAAAGTTTTCACCACTAAAATAAATATCTACATATTTTTTTTTTATAACACTGATAGAGGTACATAGTTCGATAAAATAAACAAAAGTGAGTAAAATAATGAAGAGGAAATGAGATGTCAGTAGACACCATCACATGAGACAGAAACGGGGTAACCCAATCCCTCACTTACTGAGACTCCAAATCGAGAAGGTGATATAACCAAGATGGAGCATTCCGGGCGATATACGACTGGTGGCGCCTATCCCGTGTGACACTAAGAGCAATGGCCGCTGCAGCTTCATTCCTTTCTGGGAGAACATGATCCAAGCTCCATGAGTCTATTCTTGTTAGAAGCCAAAGGATGCTGTGACGGATGTGGCTGAGACTGAGATGATCGCTGGGATTCGTTAACGCGTCATGTAAGCCCTCCGAGGAAGTCTCCAGAATAAGATTTGAGAAATGTAAGTTGTGCAAGCATTCCACTGCCCAGAAGAGTGCCCACAAGTCAGCCTCGGACTTTGAGCGCATATAGGAATAGGCCCGGCGGCTATGCATGATTGTACGTCCTTTTTCATCCCGGAGTATCCACGCTGCACCACTCGGCTGATTCGAATTTATCCATGAGGATCCCACATTACATTTTAGGGACCCAATAGGGGGTTTGTTCCATCGAACCTTTTCAATATCAATACCATCCACATCATCCCTTGAACCAGTGAATGTATTATACCATGTGGACTCTTCTTCATATGCTCTCTTAGCAATAAGGGAAGACTCTAGAATCACATTTTTAAAAATAAACGAGTTCCTAGCTTTCCATATTTCCCATAGCAACCATGGGAAAACTTTTTTTGTATGATTTTCTGAAGATGAGCTCCGAGCATTCTTAATTAAATGGACAAAATTTAAAAAAGTGGAATTCCTAGAGAAACCGCCAAAAGGTACTTGGACATTAGCTTGATCCCATATGGCACGTGCCTTAACACATGTGAAAAGAACATGACAAATAGTCTCATCCTCATGACCACAAACCGGGCAGGTTGGATCTATCGGAATACCCCGAGTAGTCAAACGTTGCTTAACAGCTAACGCACCCGATAACGCCCGCCACATAAAATGTTTTATTTTTGGTGGGGCTTTTGTTTTCCATAAGTCTCGCCATAATTTTCTTTCAATAGGGGTGAGGGACTGACCTTGAGGGTGATCATAATCCATCAAAACCTCTAATAACTTATAACCACTTCTAGTCGAATATGATCCATTTGGTGTGAATCCCCATCTGATAGAATCTTCACATCCCAGGGCTGGTTTTAAAAGTAGAATCCTTTGAACATCCTCAGGCGTAAACGTCTGCTGTAGCAGATTAGTATCCCATTGATTAGACCCCGGCCTGAGCAAATCAGAAACCTTAAGCGCTAAATTGATAGAGCTATTCTCACGGTACATTGGTGGTCGTGGGATAGTGTCAATAATCCAATTCTCAGCCCAAACATTAGTATTAATCCCATTACCAATATGTCGATATAAACCCTTTTTGAGTAATTCTCTACCGTGCATGATGCTCCTCCATGCATAAGACGGACGAGTCCCCAT